TTAATATCAAATTTCTTAATAATCTTAAGTGGTCACAAGGTGCTCAAGTAGTTTATCTTATTTTTATACAATATATAAAATCTATACTTATAATTCATTTTGTATTATTTCTAAACAAATAAAATAACATGAAAATAATATTATTATTAAGCTTATTTTATTTGTCGGTAAATGGACTGCCATTTTCCGATGAACCTGGTAAAACATGGGTAGTATTATGCGCCGGATGGAGAGGTTACCAAGGTGGTGGTTATAGTATACAGGTAATAAATCTTAAATAAATTATAAGTTTTTTAATATTTATTTAGTAACATAATACTAAATATAAAAAAAATTACAAATAAGTTTTAATAATTAATTTTAAAACTTTAAACTATATTTATTCGTAACTAGGCAAACGTGTACCACGCTTATCAAGTAATCCATGCTCAAGGTATCCCCGATGAACATATAATAGTCATGCACTACGACGACCTGGCTTACCATAAATCAAACCCTACACCCGGTATAGTCGTACAAAAAGTGAACGGCACTGATGTCTATAAGGGGGTACCCAAGGACTACACGGGCGACGAAGTCACGCCTAAAGTAAAGTTCATATAAAATAATATTAATTAAAAAAATTATTATAAAAATTTATTTTTATTATAAAACAGAACTTTTTAGGTGTACTTAAAGGGGACCCGGAATTAGTCAAAAAGGGTAAACGTGTGGTGAATAGTGGACCCAATGATAACGTATTTGTCTATTTCATTGACCATGGTGCTACCGGTTAGTTTGACTATTATTAATAATATTTATTTTTACTTCTATATTAATAATGTTTAAAAAAAATTTTAAAACATATTTTACTACTACTGTAGATATAGTGTCGTTCCCGCGGGGATACCTATACGGGGAGGAACTGGTGGCTGCACTCAAGGATATGCACCAAAACAAGAGATTTGCAAAACTAGTGTTTTATTTGGAGGCGTGTGAATCGGGTAAATAAACCATTGTTGTGCTAATAAATAAAATATTTATACCTAGCTAATTACTATATAACTTATCATCAGGCTCCATGTTCAAACTACTGCCAACTGACATAAATGTTTACGCAATTACCTCATCCAATGCTACTGAACTGAGCTGGGAGTGTGACTGGGACGAGTCCCGTAAAGTGTACCTGGGTGGTTATTTTGCCTTTAGCTGGTTGGATGACTGCGAGCACCGGGATCTGCAAAAGGAGTCCCTTCAGGAGCAGTTTAATCACATGAAAAAACAGTTGGATATCCCGGGTCCAGACCCCCAAAAGGAGCCTCACCAACAGCACCCGATGCAATTTGGGGACCTGTCCATCACTAAGTTACCTGCCTCACAGTTTCTAGGTATATTACAAGTTTTATATTTTACCTAGATAATTAACAAAGTATATAATAATTTAATTTTAATTAGTTCAAAATTTAATAATAAATTAAATTGCAAATTAAAATAGGATTTAAAAAAGTCAATGAAAAGATTAATACGGAGCCGATGGTTATGAAAAAACAGCAAGCACAAATTGAGACCACAAATGAAATTGAGTAAGTATTTTTGTTTGTATTAGTATGATGTTATAGGACAAATTATTATTTTAATTATAGGTATACTCAAGAATTACAGAATTTAATGCAATTCCGCGAATACGTGGATAACGTGTTGTATGAATACGTGAATAGTATTCAACACTTAATGCCAAACATCGCAACCAATGCTACAGGCTCAGTTTGAGTATATCAGCAAAAATGTGAATACCTCCACACCGCAGCAATATGGCGATGTTTCAATTGCGAAATTANCTGAATGCTTTGCCATTTGCTGATCACTTAGATGAGCCAGCACCATTTAACGGTACTAAATGGGTGGTACTATGTGCCGGTAGTACTACCTGGGACAACTATAGACACCAGGTACAAATTTTTATTATGAAATTATATTCTGTGTATAATATAAATTAATATATTGTTATAATGATGCATTGTATAACCAGGCTGATGTTTACCACGCGTACCAAGTAGTCAAATCGCATGGCATACCTGAGAAAAATATTATCGTTTTCCACTACGATGACATTGCTCATAATAAGGTTAACCCTACACCGAGTATTGTAGTCAACACACTCGGTGGACCTGATGTCTATCAAGGAGTACCCAAGGATTATACCGGGATTGATGTCAACCCAGAAGTAAGTTTAAATAACTTCTAGTTTAAATATAAATGATCAAGGCTACAAATTAAATTACTAGAACTTTGTGGGCGTACTTATGGGCGATAAGACGCTAAAAGAAAATAACAAAAAAGTGCTGGAAAGTGGGCCCAATGATCATGTTTATATCTATTTCGTTGACCATGGTGACGAGGGTAATATAGGTCATATGTTATTGAGGTACAAAATAGTTTAATTTCAAAAATATTTTTCAGATGTTATCGAATTCCCGACCGACTATTTGTATGGGGAGGAGCTGAATGTGGCCCTCAAATACATGCACCAAAACAAAATGTTTGCCAAATTGGTGTTTAATATGGAAACGTGTCACTCGGGTATGTGACCTAGTTACTATACACGAGTGTCAATCTGTGCGAATAGTGGGCCCTAGTGTTGAATAACACTTTTACAAATTAATGCATGACTCGCAACACTAGTTTTAATTTATCATTATAAACGTTTGTTGCTCATGTTAAAAATTGAGATACTACTGTTGTATGTATGTATGTTGCACTTTTCGCACAGACAGGTACTGGTTGATCTAGTTATATAAATATTAGGAATATTTAATCAAGTCAATTTAGAAAATAAATTTTGAATTAAATAATCAGGTTCAATGTTTGACAAATTGCTACGGAATGATCTCAATATTTATGTGACAACATCAGCAAAACCCGATGAACTGAGCTCGGCCACGTATTATGATACACTCAGAAAGACCTACCTTGGTATGTAATTTAATGGGCACAAATCAATAAACTGTTTTAAGGTAGTTTGTGTAAATAATTTTTAAAATAATTTACATACCCAGGTGATTGTTATAGCGTTGCCTTGATAGAGAATAGTGAAACCCAGGATTTAGATAAAGAGACTCTACAGGCTCAGTTTGAGTATATCAGCAAAAATGTGAATACCTCCACACCGCAGCAATATGGCGATGTTTCAATTGCGAAATTACCAGTGTCACAATTTATTGGTATACATTAGTCAATAGTTAAAAATTATACTTGTAATTAATTTTACATTTTTAAAAAATAATTCAATTTAGGTAATAAACCCAAAGATTATATACCTAGTAAACCGGTATATATTAATGATGGTGATATGGAAGTGGTTAACCCTAGAGATATACCGGTGCTATTGGCACAGAAAAATATTGCCTCAACTAATCATATCAATGAGAAACAAAGGTATGAGCTTTAAAAAAATAATATTTGGCCACCATAATGTTACCATAATAAATATAAACAACTTCATTAATTAATTTATAAAAATTATTATTATTTATTTACAGTTTATTTATTACTTTTTTTATTTTATTCTGAAAGGTATGTCGAAATGTTGGAGACTATACTGAAAGGTCGCAAATACTTGGATAACGTGTTGTATGAATACGTGAATAGTATTCAACACTTAATGCCAAACATCGCAACCAATGCTATACTCCATACGAAACAAGAGCTCAATAATAGACACTGTTATCGACAACTGGTCGACACTTTCCACCAAAACTGCTTTAATTTGAATCAAGTATTTATATAAATAAAATTTAATTTAATTAATATTTGAAAGTTAATTTTTTTTGCAATTAATTACAGAATACCTACGCTTTCGGGAAGCTATACATATTGAAAAACATTTGCGAAAATTTGATAGACTCTCACGTGACTAATATGGCTGTTAACAAGTTGGTTCAGTATTGTACGCAAAATGTTAATCATGATAACTTTGACAAAATTGTTTAAATATATAAAGTAAATTTTAAAAATTGTCATTAATTTTTGAAATAAGGTTTTAGTATTTCTTAAATTTTTGTTTATTAAAAATTATTTTTAAATTTTGAATTTAATTAAACATTTCAAAATAATATAATAATAACGTGTAAACAGTATTTTTAGCAGTTGACTACTTTATATACTAATTGATTATAATGATCAATTAACTTGAATTATATTTTTTCTGAAGAATATTTAAATAATACTTTTAAAAAACTTCTGCTAATAGTCTTTTATTTTCAATGATTTAAAACTTAAATGTGTTTTAAGTAATTAAACAATTTGTGAATATATTGAGTCAACATTTCTATCGCAGTGTTGTATCAATCGGTTAACAGCAATGTCCGCATCACTCGAGTCACGCATTTGTTCGCAAATATTCACAAAAATATTTAATTTTCTCAACAGATATTCATTCTGTGAAAAAAATATAAATAAAATCAATTATATTATGAGTTAAATAATAATCAGTTAATTAGATATACTTGATTCAAATTAAAGCAGTTTTGGTGGAAAGTGTCGACCAGTTGTCGATAACAGTGTCTATTATTGAGCTCTTGTTTCGTATGGAGTATAGCATTGGTTGCGATGTTTGGCATTAAGTGTTGAATACTATTCACGTATTCATACAACACGTTATCCAAGTATTTGCGACCTTTCAGTATAGTCTCCAACATTTCGACATACCTTTCAGAATAAAATAAAAAAAGTAATAAATAAACTGTAAATAAATAATAATAATTTTTATAAATTAATTAATGAAGTTGTTTATATTTATTATGGTAACATTATGGTGGCCAAATATTATTTTTTTAAAGCTCATACCTTTGTTTCTCATTGATATGATTAGTTGAGGCAATATTTTTCTGTGCCAATAGCACCGGTATATCTCTAGGGTTAACCACTTCCATATCACCATCATTAATATATACCGGTTTACTAGGTATATAATCTTTGGGTTTATTACCTAAATTGAATTATTTTTTAAAAATGTAAAATTAATTACAAGTATAATTTTTAACTATTGACTAATGTATACCAATAAATTGTGACACTGGTAATTTCGCAATTGAAACATCGCCATATTGCTGCGGTGTGGAGGTATTCACATTTTTGCTGATATACTCAAACTGAGCCTGTAGAGTCTCTTTATCTAAATCCTGGGTTTCACTATTCTCTATCAAGGCAACGCTATAACAATCACCTGGGTATGTAAATTATTTTAAAAATTATTTACACAAACTACCTTAAAACAGTTTATTGATTTGTGCCCATTAAATTACATACCAAGGTAGGTCTTTCTGAGTGTATCATAATACGTGGCCGAGCTCAGTTCATCGGGTTTTGCTGATGTTGTCACATAAATATTGAGATCATTCCGTAGCAATTTGTCAAACATTGAACCTGATTATTTAATTCAAAATTTATTTTCTAAATTGACTTGATTAAATATTCCTAATATTTATATAACTAGATCAACCAGTACCTGTCTGTGCGAAAAGTGCAACATACATACATACAACAGTAGTATCTCAATTTTTAACATGAGCAACAAACGTTTATAATGATAAATTAAAACTAGTGTTGCGAGTCATGCATTAATTTGTAAAAGTGTTATTCAACACTAGGGCCCACTATTCGCACAGATTGACACTCGTGTATAGTAACTAGGTCACATACCCGAGTGACACGTTTCCATATTAAACACCAATTTGGCAAACATTTTGTTTTGGTGCATGTATTTGAGGGCCACATTCAGCTCCTCCCCATACAAATAGTCGGTCGGGAATTCGATAACATCTGAAAAATATTTTTGAAATTAAACTATTTTGTACCTCAATAACATATGACCTATATTACCCTCGTCACCATGGTCAACGAAATAGATATAAACATGATCATTGGGCCCACTTTCCAGCACTTTTTTGTTATTTTCTTTTAGCGTCTTATCGCCCATAAGTACGCCCACAAAGTTCTAGTAATTTAATTTGTAGCCTTGATCATTTATATTTAAACTAGAAGTTATTTAAACTTACTTCTGGGTTGACATCAATCCCGGTATAATCCTTGGGTACTCCTTGATAGACATCAGGTCCACCGAGTGTGTTGACTACAATACTCGGTGTAGGGTTAACCTTATTATGAGCAATGTCATCGTAGTGGAAAACGATAATATTTTTCTCAGGTATGCCATGCGATTTGACTACTTGGTACGCGTGGTAAACATCAGCCTGGTTATACAATGCATCATTATAACAATATATTAATTTATATTATACACAGAATATAATTTCATAATAAAAATTTGTACCTGGTGTCTATAGTTGTCCCAGGTAGTACTACCGGCACATAGTACCACCCATTTAGTACCGTTAAATGGTGCTGGCTCATCTAAGTGATCAGCAAATGGCAAAGCATTCAGCGATATATATGATACAGAAAATACTGAAAATAATAGATAGATCATATTTATTTTATTTCTAACTATTAAATAATTTTTTCTTAATTTGTTAAACTATTAAATATATAAGAGCTTTAAAAATATTATAAAATAAAATCAATTGCAACTTGATTAGTGTTTGTTAATGAAATTTTTATCAGGAAATTAGTACTTAAATAGGGCCAGGATCAACTGAGCACCATATCAATCACTGATATAAACTGTAAATTAGTTTCACAATTAGAATGTAAAAATTCTAGAATAACTTACTGTGAGCTAGTTAATAAAATAATTAATAAATTAACTTATTTTTTTATTTAGCTTATTATGATAAGAGATTCGTGTTTGCCATAAGAATATGATATATTGATTAGATATTATATGATGATTATTGGCATAAATATTGGAAAATTATTTTGAAACCGACCATTTCGTATTAAATGTTATGGTATTCATAGTGAAAATATTTTTTAAAAATCAATAACAATATATTTTTCTTATTGAAAACATATTTAATATTTCACATTAAAAACTACAGGTGGCCAGGATGCTGTGGTTCAATTTATCAACTTTGATAATCGTAGGTCTTAAGTACATGGTTAAATAATAATTATATATATAAGGGTACTCCCTATATAGCATGATATAACAAATTTCATAACTAGCTTATAAAAGGATATTGTACTTGTCATTAAATATTAAATTCATATGTTTTTGTAACAGTTTAAATTTAGTTTCGGTAAAATTAATTTAAATTAAACATGAAAAACTTATGTAAGTATTCAACATTTTAAAATAAACTTACAATAACTTACTTTCAGACAAACATTATGGTGAAAAGTATCTAAATAATTGTATAATAATTGTATAAATATTGTGGCAACTAAAATAGAAATAATTTTTTAATTTTTCTAGATATCATCCCAATAGCCATAGTATGTACGGTATTAATTGAGCATGTTTATGCAAAATGTCCCAGTGCAGACTTAATAAAGCCATGCTATTGCTATGATGTTGGCGATTCAAGTTCATTAAAATGTCAATCCCACGATTTCATTGACATTAAGGGACTGTTTCAAAATATAAGCAAGGCACTCGATGAAAAGGACAAGCAGTTTGAAATGCTTGACATATCACTTATGAATACCGGTACCGAACTACCGGCTCAGGCATTTGCTGATATCAAATTCAAGCAGGTACATATTTACCAACCACAATGGTTAAAACATATTGATGCAGACCTGCTAAAAGGGAACTCCGATTCGGTAGTAGGGTTAGAGGTGATGTCATTGAACCTAACTAATAACGCGGACATATATAACTTGGTTAACTCATTAGAGCACCTTGAAACATTAACAATATGGGATTGCAATTCAAACACAATCCCTGAAAACGCGTTTAAAAAACATGAAAATTTGACCATGTTCCGAATATTCGATGAGAAAAATTTGAAAATATCGGGGAATGCCTTCAAATCACTGGGGAGTTCCCTCCGATACATGGAGATAGCGACCACTAGTATCACCGCTATCTCTGACAATGCCTTCGCCTTTGACGACACATTGAAAGCAAAATTACGGATAATTTTAAACGCAGATACCATTGACATGAGTGGTATAAGTAAGCGCGCATTTGCCGGCACTAAACGACCCATCACATTTATCTTGGCAAACGATAAGACATTCGCATACCTGGATGAAGCGGTTTTCAGTACGTTTATGAAGCAAAACCCGTTGAACGAAGTGTTGACACAAATCGATTGCACGGACTGTAAGAATGTTTGGCTTAAGAAACCGGAGTTCGCGACACAAGTGAACGGAATATTCTGTACGAATAAACTCGATCTGAATGATCCGAAAAATTTTGTCGGCTGTTAATTGTACTTGATGCATAGTGTTAAATATTAAATATTTCATGAAATAAAATAAGTATATAATATATCAAATAATATATTATATGTTTAGTAGTTGTTATAATCATTATTGCATATTTGAAATATTCTTTGCACATTATATTATTAATTAATATCATGATATTTATTAAATCCTTTTCTAGCGAATTGATTATTATAATTTATTAGTAAATAAAGTAGTCCAATACAGAATTATTTAAAATGTATAAAAATTTAAGTTATAAATTAAAAAGTTAATTAAAATACAAATTAATTAAAATTTTAGGTTATTTAATATGGCATAATTCAATATACATTATAAAAACAAAATATTACTATTATATATTATTATTAATAGTAATGTTTTATAGCCTACATTATATATTAAATTATGCCACATTAAATAATCAAAAAGTAAAATATAAAAATTATATTACTATTGAAATGTAGACTACTACTATTCAAATCTAAATTATAACTTCAAATTAGCATGGTTATTACATCAACTTATTCAGAACTGTAAACAGGGCGTGAAAAATAGTACGAAACTTTGTTTCCGCTTTATACTCGTGACCATCGCTATAATCGCAATTTTCATCAGGCTTATATCCCTTTTTCTGAGTGTGGGTAACGCCAATTTTGAAAAATTCAATATGTTGTGCCATAAAATCTATAGTTTTCTCTTTGCCCTTGAACAATTCGAGTAATTCGTTGCAAAATTTATTTACGATACTGTTAATAGGGTACAATTAATTCAAAATTATTATGTAATTATTAAATGATTTCATATTTAGTTTGATAGTTGTAATTGATGTAGTAATTCAATGCATTAATTTAGATTTACAAATTAAAAATGCTAATGAAATAATTTAACATAAAATTAAAGATCTACCCCAAAAATGCCTAACCTCAAATAACTAACTGACAGGTGGACATATTTTTAATTTAATAAGCAAAATAGAGGTGTCCTAACCTAACCTAACCTTAATGAAGTCAAATAACTATGTTCAGTTAACTAGGACTTTTAGGGTTTAGACAAAATGTTAATATTCACCATAGCCACATTTCAATAGTATTCGGATCATCCTTTTCCTTCATCTTAGACATGATTCCCAAAAGATTTTCCTTTAATAGACTTGTTTCTTTAAGTTTGGCATTTAGGCTCTGGGCTACTTTAAATGGGTTTTGCGACTTGCATACCCCATGAAAGTACCTGGGCACCTCGGGTTGTTTAGAGCCGCTCACGGCGTGGGCTTTCGTAGAGTCCTTATTGGGTACCACCCACTGGAGGCTCTGCACCACAAATGCCATGGTGAACCTGTTACGTTATTTATGGATAAAATTAATAAGTAATTTTTGTTTAATTAAGGGAAATGAGATTATTAACTATTCAAAAGCATTCAAATAGATTACTAATTATAATAATGAAATTTTACAAATGTTATTGTAAAGCTTATTATTTGCTGTATCATTTCAGATACACAATAGGTAAATAATTTACTATTAGGGTTACCGAAATTTCCAGTTTGCTCTGGATAGTCTAACGAGATTTAAATTAATTCGAAGTTATATGTTCTTAAGTTTACATTATGTTCATTACTATTATCCCGTTAAAATCATAATATTTTTGATAAAAATTAAAATTATCAAAATATATCTGGTATTCAATAATTTAGAGTTGGCAACTCTATTTACAATATTTTAATATTTTTTTGTATTTCATAATTTAAAACTCGTGTTAATATTTTGTTTAATAACTCATAATTTCCTAATAATTTAATATTTTACATATAGTATTTTTAATTTATGACCTATATCCTAATAGCTACCCTAGCGTCGAGGTCACGTATGGCTCCTCCGCACAATACATATCCATACCCTCCTGAGTATCGGGTAATTTAACCTTAATTATGTCCTTTCTCTCCATAACCTTGTTGAATTTCTCCCTGTTTTCCACCATGTTAAGTGAGTCACATTGGAAACCTACAAACCTAGCAGCAAGCACAATTACCACCATTAAAAGGTTTGTTGTCATTTTTATAAAATAGGATTTTAATGGAAAAGTAAACAAATAATTTTATTTTTTTAAAAATAATAAAATTGCATATCGCATATGTTTTCGTGTATGTAACTATCAAATAGGGTTATATAAAAATTTGCTTAATTACGTAATTTATTAAGAAACTTAATATTTAAATTATTTTGCACACAAAAAATTAGTTTGTGATAAAACTTTTTTTTATAAGTTATGTTTTTAAAAATTAGATTATTATATTTTATTTATAAACATAGCAACAGATTTAATTATTATAATATGATTATAATTTCATGTAAAATCAAATAATATTATTATTCCCTATGTCATAGTTGACTATTAAAATATAATATTAAATTTATTTGCTATTAATTGGCTAATAATACGAAAACATTATATGAGCCTTAAAGAACCAGATAGACGCTAGCTGTTTTTATATATAAATAATAATTTGACTCAGATTTCAATTATTCATACAATATTCATAGTTTTTATTTCAAAAAATACTTATTATTTTCATTATGAATTACAATATTTTTATCTAAACTTTTAAAATAGTTTATATAAATAGATCTCTTATCTAAATCAATAAATGGTAACACACTTATAATATCTTTAATTTTTTCAGGTTTTAACATATAATTAGGTTCATTTTCAATATGTGTTACACAATCTTTAATACTATTAACATTGGATTTAATTAAATTAACATTTTTGACACCTTTATTATAATCATAAGAAAATATAACATTTCCATTCGGATAATAATCTATTCTATTAACACTCATTAATTTAACACTTTTGTCAGTTTTAAGATGATTATTAAATACATTATCAAAATTTAATACATCGGTATATTTTAATGAAAATTTTTCGTTATTTCTTATAATATCTAAATAATCATTATATGTCTGAATTTCAGGTAATTTATTGAATTTATTACCTAGTATACCGAAATGTGTATCACAAATACTGTAACTATGCCCAACACATGGAAATATATGAACAATTTTTATATCTAATAATATTGAAATAAATAGTGAAAATTTTACAAAAATATGATTTTTATTCTGACCACCACAACTATCACTAATAAAAACAAACTTTTTATAAACATCTAAATCTATAGTTGAACGTAAATAATCTATTAAATTATACAAATAACTAGAAACACTATTTGGACCCTTTTTGAACATACCTTCAATTGAATAATAAATAAAATTGAAATTTGTATTATGAACATAAATGTTAAATAAGTATAATAACAAGGATCTTTTATAATAAAATATATTAGCATTCAGTTTAGGAAATGGTTTGTTAGAGCTATAGTCAAACTCAAAAGTTAATGTTTTATTACAAGTTAAATATTTATGTTTTAAAAGTCTAAATTCATTAACTCTATTAATATGCATTTCATATTCAACTAGATTATCTAGATTTTTAGCATATATTGAACAAAAATTACAAACATCTGTTTGCAATTTATTAAACTTATAGTTATAATTATTTTGAAAATATGTATTAAATGTCTGATAAGATATTGTAAGGCATTCATTAGTTTTAGTAAAATAAAATTCTTTAAACTGTATAAATAATTTAGATATATTTAAAGTTTGGTCACAAAAATATAAACTATTATTTAGTGGTTTATAATGTGATGGCTTACTTGGGATTTGTTTTAAAAAATAGGTTAAATGTTCCCAAATATTATTATCTGTTTTATTTCCTTCATGTGAACCTCTATTGTCTGTAATTTTGATACAATTAATTATCTTTGAAGCAATACTTCGTAACCGTCTTTGCGATATTTGATATAAATTTATAATAAATTTTTGACAAACTTTTGATTTCATTCCCTTTTCTTCATAATAATATTCCCATAGAGTTCTCGCATATATAGTATCGATTCTTACCATTGTTTTTGCCAAAAATACACCCTGATCACTCCAGTTAGAAAGAGTACAAAACCTAAGTTATATAGAAATTTGGTTATATGTTTAACTAGTTATTTAGTTTTTAGTTTAATATACTCGTTAAATGATTTAAGTTGGCGTTCATAAGACACCTGTTTATGGCAATTATTTTTGCAGCATTTCTCAACACATTTGAACCCCTTTTCCATTTGAATGTTACCATTACTATCAATATACTCGTTATACTATAAATTAAAAATATTGTTAATTATAAATAATTTATATATACATTTTAATATTAATAAATACCGAGTTTTTGAGAAATTTTCTCTTATTTTTTTGCCAAATAAATTCATGTTTTCTTTTGATACCCTTTTCATTGGATTTTTCATTCAATTCATTATTAATTACTGTTACCGGAGTTAACTTATCAGGACATCCATTAGATATTTGAACAACCTTTTTATAAAACAGTTGATCCATATTTATAATTGTTATTTTAAGTGATAATTTGTTGTTTACTTTTGTTTTATGTTTAACATTAAAGTTTTAAACCAATTCATAGATATTAGTAATATTTTACTTGTACTCTGATAAGTTATAGTTACTATCTTACCGTAAACCTATGAATATTTTATGAAGAAAAGGGAATGAAATCAAAAGTTTGTCAAAAATTTATTATAAATTTATATCAAATATCGCAAAGACGGTTACGAAGTATTTACTCTGATAAGTTATAGTTACTATCTTACCGTAAACCTATGAATATTTTATGAATAATTGGATTCTGAGTCAAATTATTAATTAAATAAAAATAGCTAGCGTCTATCTGGTTCTTTAAGGCTCATATAAAAACACAATATAAAATTTTTAAAATAAATATAAGTATGAACAGTATAATTATATCATTAGTTGGTACAATGTACTAGTATATGCTTTTTAAAAAATTTACTATTTCATATTTAATTAAATAAGTTTAATTAAACAAAATTTTTGTAATAATTTTTAATAATAAGATAAAGAAACAGTAAAACATTATTTCAAAATTTATTATTAAAAGTTTTAAAACTTTACATTATATTATGATTAAACAATTTTTCCAAATTTATCTAGATTAACATTGTGGGCACAATACTGAACCAACTTGTTAACAGCCACAGCAGTCACGTGAGAGTCTATCAAATTTTCGCAAATATTTTTCAATATGTATAGCTTCCCAAAAGCGTAGGTATTCTGTAATTAATTACAAAAATTAATATACTTTTAAGTAATAATTAAATTAATATTTTTATAAATACTTGATTCAAATTAAAGCAGTTTTGGTGGAAAGTGTCGACCAGTTGTCGATAACAGTGATATCAATGAGAAACAAAAGTATGTGTTTTATTTATAACATCTAGNCTTGATTCAAATTAAAGCAGTTTTGGTGGAAAGTGTCGACCAGTTGTCGATAACAGTGTCTATTATTGAGCTCTTGTTTCGTATGGAGTATAGCATTGGTTGCGATGTTTGGCATTAAGTGTTGAATACTATTCACGTATTCATTGAACACGTTATCCACGTATTCGCGACCTTTCAGTATAGACTCCAACTCTTTCGCATACCTTTCAAAATATAATTTAAAAAAGTAATAAATGAACTGTAAATAAATAATACAAAATTTTATAAAATAATTAATGTAGTTGTCTATATGTATTACGGGTGAACAGATGCTAGATGTTATAAATAAAACACATACTTTTGTTTCTCATTGATATCATTAGTGGAGGCAATATTTTTCTGTGCCAATAGCACAGGTACATCTCGAGGGTTAACCACCTCCCTGTCAGCATCATTAGTATATACCGGCTTACTTGGTATATAACCTGTGGGCTTATTACCTATTTACAAATATATTTAAATTATATAAATAACATTTTAATTTATGGTAAGCTAATGTTTACCAAAGAATTGTGACACTGGTAATTTAGCAATTGAAACATCACCATATTGCTGCGGTGTCGAGGTGGTCACATTTTTGCTGAGGTACTCAAACTGAGCTTGTAAAGTTTCTTTATCCAAATCTTGGGTCTCACTGTTTTCTAACCAAGCACCGCTATAATAGTCACCTGGGTATGCAAATAATTATAGAAATTAATTTTAAAAATATAATAATTTGTGTGTTTAAAATTGCATACCAAGGTAGGTCTTTCGGAGTTCATCATAATAGGTGACATAGCTCAATTCATCGGGTTTAGTCGATGTTGTCACGTAAACATTGATATCTTTCGGTAACAACTTTTCAAACATTGAGCCTGATTATTTAATAAAAAATGATTAATTAAAATTTCTAATTTAACTTAATTTACATGATTCTATCAAACTAAAATTTATATATAGCTAGGTCCCATACCTGAGTGACACGTTTCCATATTAAACACCAATTTGGCAAACATGTGGTTTTGGTGCATATATTTTAGGGCCTCATTCAGCTCCTCTCCATATAAATACTCCGTTGGGAACAGTATTACATCTAAAACAAATAATTTATTAACTCAAAATTTACCCCGCTAATATGTGACTTATATTACCATCATCACCATGGTCAATGAAATAGATATAAACATGGTCGTTGGGTCCACTTTCTAACACTTTTTTGTTATATTTCTTTAGTGTTTTATCACCCTTAAGTACGCCCACAAAGTTCTAGTAATTTTTATTAATTTAGTTAATAAGCTTGGTCATGTGCAAAAGTTATTTTTTACGTACCATTGGGTTGACCTCATGTCCGGTATAATCCTTGGGTACTCCGTGATAGACATCGGGTCCACCGAGTGTGTTGACTACGATACCGGGTGTAGGGTTAACCTTGTTATAAGCGAGGTCATCGTAGTGGAAAACGATAATATTTTTCTGTGGTATGCCATGCGATTTGACTATTTGGTACGCGTGGTACACATTAGCCTGGTTATACAAATTAAAATTATAATAATATACCGTATAAAACATATATATTTTAATGATAAAAATATATACCTGGTGCCTATAGTTGTCCCAGGTATTACCACCGGCACATAATACCACCCATTTTGTTCCGTTAAATGGTGTCGGCTCATTTAGTTGATCAGCAAATGGCAAAGCATTTACCGATAGATACAATATAGAAATTAATGAAAATAATAAATACATCATATTTACTAATATTTAATTTTTAAATAGTAAATAATTTTTATTTGTTTAGCTATTTATATAAAAAAAATTATAAGATATTTTAATAAATTGCAACTTGCTTAGTGTATTTATGAAATTCTTATCATGAAGTAAGTTAGCAATAAAATAGTGTCAGGACCAACTGAGTTCACTATCACTCATTGATATCAACATTAAATTATTGTATTATTGTAATTATTATACTATTATTTTACTATTTAGATATTTAAAAATCTAACTAATATATGTCACATAAACTATGGAAAAAATTTTAATGTTTTAAATAATTTATAAATCCAAATCAAATGAGTTATTTAATAAAATAATGAATAAATTTATTTAGCTTTCTTATGATATGAGGTTAATGATTGTCATAAGGGTATGGTATGATACAGTATATAGATTAAAAATTAAGATTATCGGCATAAACATTTCTTAGAAAGGTACTTTAGGGAAGTTACATATTTAAAATGAAATTCATAATTAAACAAAGGGTATTGTGTCAGGACAAATTTGTTTTCAAAATTATGTTATACAATATACTTGGAAATCATATGATTAGATGAACAATGACAATGAACCTGTTCATTTACTCTTAAACTTGAACTTAATCTCATTGTTAGCATGAAGTGGCAAGTTATCAATTTAAGCTCATTGGAACAATAATTGATTAATGTTATCAAGCATAATAAGTTATCTAATAATCCTAAATATTTATTTTTAATTGTTATCATAAATAAATATTATTATTATTAGATATTAGTATTGCAGTATAACATGAGTAAATAATATTATAAACATACTCTCAAAAATGTATTTATTTTTTTATAACATTGACTTTATTTTGCACATATTTTCTTATAACATATAATTATTTTTAAAAAATAATTTATTATACAATGGGCTCGGAGTTAGTGGACTCTATGTTAACGGTACAGTGATATACCAGGTGCTCAACCGCGTTGTCTACATAACTCGATTCAATCAGATTCTCGCAAATATTCACAAATGTTTGCAGTTTTCCAAACGCATAGGTATTCTATAGTAACGAAAAAAATTAATTAAACAATACATAAAATAAAATTATATAAACTAGCTCATTACCTGGTTAATATTGAAGCACTTCTCATTGAAAGTGTCCACAAACTTTCGATAGCACTCTCTGTTATTGAGGCTTTCCTGTCCGTTAAGGACGTCAATGTTTTTGGTGTCAATTAAATGTTTAATACTATTCACGAAATCAGCGAAATGTTTGTCCATATATTGGCGGCCGCTTAATAGGCGCTGCAATTCAGTCACATATCTATGAATAAAACAAATAAATTTTAAAATTTTAAAAATAATTTTCTACATTATATTACAGCATACCGTTGCTTCTCATTGATATCCTCCGTCGACTCAATCAACTTCTCGGCTAAAGCTATGGGAACGTTACGACTGTTTACGAACTCACCGCTAGAGGCACTGGTAGTATACTTCTGGTTAACATCCTTTTTAGACCCTGGTATCACAAAAAATAAAAATATTATTTCAAGAAAATTATTTCTAAATTAAATTTATACCTAAAAACTCAGCAACATGCAATTTGCCAATAGCCAGGTCACCGTATTGCTGGGGATGTGAC